TAATTCAAGAGTTACAAGAAGTGATTAGTTGAGCTCTATAATCCTAAGCGAATTAACACAGGAACAGAAAACTAAATATTGCATGTTCTCACTTATAAGTGGGAGCTAAACATTGAGCACACATGGACATAAACACGAGAACAATAGACACTGCAGATTACTAGAAGTGAGAGGGAGGGAGAGGGGCATGGGTTGAAAAACTACCTACCAGGTACTGTGCTTACTCCCTGGGTGATGAGATCCATACCCCAAACCTCAGTATAACACGATATACCCGTGTAACATACCTACGCATGTCCCCCCGCGTCTAAAATACAAGTTGAAATTTAAAAAAAAAAAAAAAAAAAAAAACCTCTGGAACAAATACAGACATGATTCATTAAAGGTGCTTTGGGCAGTGAGTCAGAGACAGGAAACTGGGGAAAATGTGAGAGAAGACTGGCAAACTGAGGATGTGCTGTTCGGATGGGGCCAGAGATTACAGAAAAAAAGTCATACAGTGAATGAAATGGCCTTAGTATCTAGATTTGAGAAAAAAGAAAATTTCTGTGAATGGGCCAGAACAAGCTATTGGTCTTAGATGCACCTAAGCTCTCTGGTTTTGGTTTTTGTTGTTGTTTGAGAGACAGGGTCTTGCTCTGTCACCCAGGCTGGAATTCAGTGGCACAATAATGACTCATTGCAGCCACGACCTCTTCCTCTGTCAGCCTCCCATGACTCAGGAATTTTTTTTTATTACTGTTTTACGTAGAGACAAAGGTCTCTCTATGTTGCCAAGGCTGGTCTTAAACTCCTGGTCTCAAACAATCCTCCCACCTCAGCCTCCAAAAGTGCTGGGAGTATAGACATGAGTCATCACATGTGGGTTTTGTTTTGTTTTGTTTTTTTGCTTTAGGAGAAGAGAAAACACATTCAGTCATCCAGGTTCAGGGTCCAAAAACCTACTCACCTCTGTGGCCTTTATGGGTGTCCTAGATTCACTGCGCCCCTCAAGGGAAGAAACCTCAAACCTCTTTATGCCTCCCACAGAGGTTTTCTCCTATGGTGTGGTTCTCTGTTCCCAACTTCTCTGGCCTCCTCTGCCCATCTTTTCTTTTTTAACATAAGGTCCCTATGTCACATTGACCCTTTTCTCCCTGATGCTCTTTGGTCTCTCCTATGTCACTCAAATCCCTAAGTTTGGGGGGCCACTCAGAATCCCCTTAACTCTGTCTCTGTTTTTAGATGCCTTAGTCAGTGACTATGGGATGCTGCATATCTCCCCAACATATGCCAGTGTGCGAGAAGGGCTGAGCACCCACCATAGCTCTTCTCCATAGCAGAGAGCCCTCCCAAACCCCGCAGTTCCCACCCACCAATGTAGGACTCCTATTTGTTAGTCACTCCTCAGACAGCATCTGGGTTTCAGATCACTGTCTCCAACTGCCTGCTGGAAATAACCACCTCTACATCCTTAAAGGATTTCAATATAGCAGGCCACCTGTCTCCTCATGCAGGACCATGCTCTTGATATCTTGCACACAAATGCACTTGTTATCCTCATATTATCTTTGAGAATCACCATCTTACCTGTTGTCCAAGTCAAAAGACTTAGGAGTTATCTCTGACACCTCCCTTGCCTTTTCTTCTTACAGTAAGTGTGTCCAAATCTTACAGATGTTACTTCCTTAGTATCTCTCAAATCAGAAATTGCATAGTATTCTGTTTACTGTAAAAGCTTCAATGACACCCCCTCTAATGCCTATGAGATAAAAATCTAAGTTCCTTTATAGAGCAGGTCAGGCCCTTCATCATCCAACTTTTGCCTGCCTATATAGAATAATATTTTGTCACATTATTTTTCCTTTTCTACAATTTATTTTCTACCCTCAAGGATTGCTTATTTACATATATTTTCCAGATTTTACCACACTTTCATATGCTTTTTTGTCTTTTAATAAACTATGTGTTCAGTTTTACAATATCCTCCCCTAATTTGTCTGCCTCTCTGGTGTTACTTCTCCTGACACTGCCACTCAGAATGTTTTATTTTATGGGTTCATGGAGCTTACTGCTCATCTCTGTTATAGCAGTTATCACAAGGTACTATAATTAGCTAACTGATGGCCAAGGTCATGTCGTAGTCACTCAGGCATCCTTAGCAAAGGCAGTGCCTACTAAACAGCTAGTGGTTAATTTTTGAATGAATAAACACAAGGTGAAGAGGTTGCTAAATTTCTCATTATCCTCAAAGTTTACATGACAAAGGCATCAGGAGTCATGGCATGGGTTCTTAGCCACTCATTTTTTTTTAATCAGATGTTTCCTCTTTGGATTTTGTTCCAAAATAACAAAGATGAAGAGAGTTGTAGATCCAGTGTAAAAATTATGAAGAGGTGGTACCAAGGGGATATGGGAACAGAGGCGCCTCAGTGGGTATCCATAATTTTCAAGATCCATCTTGCATAGTGATGAACATCTGTGAAGAATCCTTCACTTCCTAGGGTGACGCTTCCTTCTGCCCAGGACAAGATTCCATGCAACCTCCCATTGCAGATGGCTGGGGCTGCCGAAACTTCCTTATAGAGGGAAGGAACAGAAGGTCAATGTGTCCTTGTCCTTACGGAACAAGAGTAAATGCCAGCTGGGCGTGGTGGCTCAAGCCTGTAATCCCAGTACTTTGGGAGGCCAAGGTGGGTGAATCACAAGGTCAGGAGATCAAGACCATCCTGGCCAAATGGTGAAACCCCATCTCTACTAAAATACAAAAATTAGCCAGGCGTAGTGGTGTGTGCCTGTAGTCCCAGCTACTCAGCAGGCTAAGGCAGGAGAATCGCTTGAACCTGGGAGACGGAGGTTGCAGTGAGCCACGATCACTGCACTCCAGGCTGGGTGACAGGGTAAGACAACATCTCCAAAAAAAAAAAAAAAAAAAAAAGTAAATGCCAAAAAGTGGCACATAAGAGTAGCAAAACCATCTAAGAGAATGCGCTTATTTTTCTTGAGAGGTGGCAGACCTCTCTTTACATCCACAGAAGTCTTACCTCTAAGGTTCAAGATTGACCCAACCCCAGTGCAAGCAAGACAAAGGACAAATAGTTCTACCCTAAATCTCTCCCACTCTGAAAGATGAGAAGGGCAGTGGTTAGAAACCCAGAGGTGAGTGGGGAGGGGAGAGGGACTTCAGCTCTTTGCTCCTCACTCTTGGGAGGCCTTTTGGATGAGTGCTCTTTGATTCTGCATTATCACCACCCGTCCCATGGGACTCTTGCTATCTTCCTGTAAACAGAAGGGAGAAATACCTTGTTTTCAGATAGGATCCTTAGAGGGTGTCCCACACAAATGATGCTTCCTGCCTGTTCTTCTTTGAGTCTATCCTGACAGTTATGGAATGGAAGAGAATGTTGGTTGATCCATGTCAGGATGTCAGGATCACTGACTGTGGGAAAGAGAAAACAAACTCCAGAGTGACTCTCCTTATCACAAGGGCTCTTGTAACCAGACCCTGTTTTGTAAATAAATTCAGTCCTGAGAATATTCAATGCAGGTAGCAGCAGACACTCCATTCTCCACAGGATTCCTTGTTCAGTAATCTCCATGTTGGAGAAGTAGGTTTATAAGTCCCCTTTGTCAGATATCAAATCCATAGTTCTTTCTGTACTATGCATCATTTATAAAAAAATGGAAAAAACTGTGAGTTATTAGTGACCACAAGGAGAAAGAGACAGTAATGAAGCCATCGTCCCAAAGATTTTGCCCCTACACATACACCTTTATTGGGTATCTACTTGATCCTTTTCACATTTAGTTATAAAGGGAAAAACTATTTTAATGCATATAAAACTGCTTTTGAAGTTAAACAGATTATTTATAAGTGTTTCTAGTATGTGTATTGATATAAATATACATATGTTTCCCCATAAGTAGTTGCCATGTTGTTCAACTCCATAATAGCAATTGCTATTATACTGTCAACTTCAGGATATAGGGACTTTAACCAAGGTATTATGTAATTTAAATTTCTGGTAGAGAATAGCAAAGAGAGAGGGAAAAAAAAAACATTGACCAGAGATTGCTCAAACTAAGTCCAGTGTTGTTTAAGGAGCAGGGTTTTTTCTGATAGAGTGCATCCAATCAAATGCCCTAAAGCAGATTAGACCAGAAGGTGTCAGGTCAGAGAAGAAAGAGAAATTATGTTCAGTTTTATGTTTTTATGGGAACTCAATTAAAATATGTGTAAAAAGCTAGGTGAAAGTAAGTTAAGTTACTTGAAATAATGAATTTCTAACAAAATATTGGAAGTCCTGCACCAGAAAGCTTATAGAGGTATAGTTTGTCACTGTGATTTTGACATGCAGAGCCTGTATACCTCTGTATAGTTTTGTTTTGTTTTCAAATGGTAAGGAATAAGTTACATCTGTAAGTTGTAATTCAATTACTTTGAATAAGACTCATAAAGGACAAAAATCATACAAGCTGCAATTGTTCAGAAAACATGTTCACCTAGATTCCCAAGTACTTTGTTTCTAAATTGAAAAATGAAGCTGTAAAATACTGAGAATATAATAGTTCCTGCTTTTAATTTCTGGGTTTTTGTTTGTTTGTTTGTTTGTTTTTTACCAAAGACTGACTTTTAAAATTCTACTTTTAATTGCTTTTACAGAACAGGTGCATTGTTCTGTAGCCACAAGAGAAAGATTTAAACCTGATTAATAGATCCAGGACAACTTGCTTGAGCGAACATGGCTTTTGCAAGATAATCAATGTCAGCCTTCACTTCTTAAAATCAGCTGATCAGGATCAGAGGTCCTCTGACAGACACGTCTCAAAGCACCAACCAGTAGCCAGGCCTCGACAGATGATGGGACCCATTCATACCTCTGAAAGTCCTCCAATCCCTCAACACCAAGCTTCCCACAAACCCCATATGCTAATCAGCACTCCACTTTGCTTAGTGGGATGGTGCCTGGTCAGCATTGCTCTGACTTGCTGTAATAAGCAATAGATTTAGATTTGTCATTTCATTTCAGATATGAAGTGGTGGCATCCTTATCCTCAACAATACCTAAAGAGAGAATAGTGGAGTAACAGCCAACAAGGACCAACAAACACATTAGAAAGTAACTTTCTTCATAAGTGTTCTTTACTAGACAGACTCCTGCAGAGACCAGATCTTTCTGCTCATCCCAGTTTCAGCTCACAGGGGAGACGAGTGTGTGCTTACGACATGGGCTGCCACTGTTTTTCCCATGAGGCATGTCAGGCCAGGGAGATACCAACTGATTATGCCATAATAATCAATTTCCTTATGAACCACCCAAGTCTCCACCTCTTAGTGGGAACTCTGGGATGGAGCAGTAGGTATGAGTAGCACTCTGTGTGGGGAACCAGCTCTGGTGACAGGACAGGTGCTCCCTCAACCATTCTCTTGTCTCCCAGGGTTCTCTGTACATAACTGGGTTCTCTGTGGAGGGTGTAGGAAGCATCCTCTGCTGCTTCACCGCATCATATATATTTTATGTTCATTTCCCCCACTGTTCTTCCATTGTGTGATGGGTTTTCAGCAACTATCAACGACTAAGTCACCCTCCCACAGACTGCCTTCATGCTGTCTTTTGTGCATGAGGACTCCTATTTCTCCCACCTGTATTTCAATCCAGTTCTCTGAACTCTTGTCTTCAATATTCTAGAGATATAAAAATTACTGTCTGCTCCATTTTTTGATGTCAGAGCGGCTGCCCTTTATCAGTCTCTTTGAATTTTATCTTTTTTTTTTTTTTGAGACGGAGTCTCGCTCTGTCGCCCAGGCTGGAGTGCAGTGGCCGGATCTCAGCTCACTGCAAGCTCCGCCTCCCGGGTTCACGCCATTCTCCTGCCTCAGCCTCCCGAGTAGCTGCGACTACAGGCGCCGGCCACCTCACCTGGCTAATTTTTTGTATTTTTAGTAGAGATGGTGTTTCACCGTGTTAGCCAGGATGGTCTCGATCTCCTAACCTCGCGATCCGCCCACCTCGGCCTCCCAAAGTGCTGGGATTACAGGCGTGAGCCACCGCGCCCGGCCGAATTTTATCTTTGACCTCCAGTGATGGTGGTTTGGGGCCCTGGCAGGAATCCCTCTATGGTGATAACTTTGTCTCATAGCAGCGATTTCCATTAGGGACATCCCACTACATTTTCTCCCAGCTCCAACCTCCTTAGCATAAAAAACACAGCATCCAACACTTACGGTTTTTATATTCATTCCAGGTCCAGGTTGGAATAAAGCAGGACTCATTAAATGGAATGGGTTCCAAGGCTATGGCTATAGTCCCCACATGGGGGTTGAGTGAAGCCGGCATTGACAGTTTGATCATCATTAGGTCATTGTTCAAGGATTTTGCATCAAAGTCAGGGTAGGTCACAATCGATGAATAGTTTCGTATCTGTTGTTTCTTATTTGTGATGCTAGGTTGAGAAACTCCCAGTCGGATTTCAACACTTTGGAAGAAAGAGGGCAGAGAGATGAGAAGAAAGAGAGTCATAGGATGACAGATTACAAGAAATTCTACAGGCCACCCTCTTTAATTGTTTTAACTTTATTTCTTAACCTGAGAACAGACATGGTCTTCCTTTGTCTATAAAATAATAGCAATAATTTACAGAATTGTTCTATTAGAGACATAAATTTGTAAAATGTCTGACATGGGGTCTGGCACCTAAAACACAGTCAGTGGAGCCTTGTTATTAAGATTTTTATCATCTGAATTAGCAGCTAATAGAGAGGCACCACACATCCTGTTCATGGGTTAAGTATGGATGTAAGAAAGAACATCTGCGTTTTCAATTCTTATTCTGGAAGGATGTAAACTGTGTATTTCCTTTGTATTTCCCATATACCACAGAGCAGAGGTTAGTCTGTGTTAAACTAAACTGCCTTGAACAGCCAGATGGCTGAGATTTCTGAATTTGAAAGGATCCTTCTATACTCATGAAACTGAGTAGGTCTTGATCACACAACACATTCTCACATACAGCAGAAACACTGAGATTTGCAAGGAATTGCTTTATTTTGTACTGTGCTCCCGTGCCCTCTACTGTCACTGAGTGATACGGCTTTTGCCTAAATCTTTGACCTCATCCTATGGGCATCCCCCCTACTCATTACCCTTAGTTCCTGCTGATTTCTCTGCTTGCCAAATACCTTAATGTCTTTGCTACTTCAGGGAGTATATGAATATTGTTTCCTTGGTCTGGAATATCCCCCAGGATTTATTCATTTGGCTGGCTCCTCTTCCTATGGATCTCACCTCTTCAGAGATGATGGACATGACCACATTAACTAAAGCAGATCTCTTGTTTCATGCCCATATATTACAGCTTGCCATTAAAAAAAAAAAAAGAAAAAAAAAACTTTGTTTTTGGCAGTTTATTTGTGTTGGCTACACCCTCTACTAAAATGTAAGCTCCATGAGGGAACACTTATTTTCATCTTGTTCCTTCACAGTTTTATCAGTGATTAAACAGCCCTTGCTATATAATAAATGTTTAACAAGTATTGTTGATGAATGAATATTATTTCCTACCCATGAGAGGGAATCCTCTGACATCTTCCTACTGATCTCCTCCTAAACTGCCCAAATTTGTATTCTATTTCCCATTGGGAACAAGAGTCTCTCTTTTTCCGTGTCTTCTGATTTTACTAAAAATTTTCTGGGATGCTTCACCAGATCTACATTTGTTTGAACAGATTCCTCCTGGCTCACAAGAGAAAGGGATACTTACGGTAAGGGGCAGTGGGCAGCTGTCAATACCCAGTCAGGATGAATGAGAGACCCCACACAGGGTTCTGGGAAGGACTGAAGATAGACCATGTAAGGAATAGTAAAATTGTATGATGATTCCTGATTATCTTCAGAGTGTTTAGCCAGAACAGCTCCTGGAAAATCAAGGGGCCATAGGTCAAAAGAGAAAAAGAAGTTAAAAGGCCACAGCTGGCTAGGGTAGTTTTCCCTAACCTAAGGTTTTCAAACGTAACATAAAGGTCTTCAATTTATCTTTTATATTTTAATCAAAGAAAATTATGCACCTCCCCCAAGTTATACACAATAAGAAAATTGACACATAGCTTTGCTGAGATGAAATTACATAAAAATTCTGTGAAACTAAATTACATGCTGATCAGAAACTCTGACTGTCAGTGCTTGTGTGTTACAAAGGTGAAAAAAATGACTACTTGAAATTTTTTTTTAATATTCACTTTTGCCATAAATTGGTGTAAAAAATTACTGCCTGACTTTGGTGATGAAATAAATAGAAAAGCTTAGGGCTTCCAGAGCCCCTGACTCAGCTCACCCCCCTTTTCCAGGCCCATGTCCTCTAATGTGGTTCCTTTTGTTTTCTTCAACAGTTGTTTTATTTAAGTGTCCTCCAGTTCCTAGCTCATTAGTTGTGCCCAGCTAATCCTCTTTCCAATCTTTCATAGACTACCCTGGGTGTCACGTTAGGCAGAAACAAAGCCCCAAACTCTCACCAGCTGCACTCAAGAGAGCGACGATGAGAAAACCCTTCATGGCAGACTGATCTCGCCAGGAGCAGACAAGTTGATCAAGCTGTAAACTGTCCCAATCTTTAGTCCAAGTGTCCTTGTCAGGAACAGCTGTGGAGAAACACTAATTATGGGCAGAAGAGAGATGAGAAGAGAGCAGTCTTCAAACAAGTCCTTATCAAGACCCAAATATATACGGCATTGCTGAGAGCCGTGTCTGATGTGGGTGAAAGATAGTGGCACAGACCAAGTCAAGGTCCTGGTGCCCCCTTTCCTATCCTACAAATCTTGCCCAGAGTCATTATGTACCTGCTGATTTTCCCTCCCCTCTCTGTGACACAGCCTTTCATTGTTGTTCCCTCCTCCCTCTGTGACTTAAACCTCTCTCCTTGCCCCCCCACTCCCGCTGCCATCTCACCTCTTCCAGAGACTTCCAGAAGATTGGGGTATGAAATGCACTGAATAAATCATTGCTTTTTTCATCCCTTCTAATTTTAGTGATGAGGAAGCTGTGGTTCTCTTGGAAGTTAGTGGCAAAGACAGGACTCAGAATTCAGTCTCCATATTCTCTGTGTCAAGGCTGAACTCTATCTTTAGCCTGTGTTCCCACAAAAAAGCAATGGTTAAGAAATCCCCCCACCGTTTTGTGTTCTTGGAAATGAATTACCACAAAGAACTACCTTTCCCATATGCCTTAGATAAGACTCTCTCCCCCTTCTATCTCCCAACTTCCAGAACATTTCACATGGTTCTCTTGCTTACCCGTGACACATTAAACACAGACCTTTCCTCTTTTGCCCATACTTGCTGACATGGCCAGACACCGACCATCCAACTCCCCACTTTTTGTTTCAAAAATGTTTAGCTGAGATTAGAATGGTTTGTCTCCTCAAAAGTAGCTACATTCAAAAATAAACATATCCTATTCAGCCAACTGACTGAGACTTCCCCCTGATTGTAAAACAACCCCAACTATAAATCTCCCCACCTCAAACTTATATTTCTCTCCCTACAAAAGGTCCAGGGCAAAACCACCCTGCTAAGACACTTCATAATCTTCAGATCTGGGATGCTCTCCTATTGGGTGGTCTGACTACAACCAGACTCCTTGCTAGTTCACTTTTTGTCTTCTATGCTGATTATTCTCTCAAAATGCACCCCATGTTTTCTTTTTATTAGCTACCCTTGTATGATAACTTCCAGGCTGTCCCACAGAGGCAAGTAATAACAGTAGGTTCAATCCCACATTTTGTATAGAGTACACTGGACAAATGCAAACTGATCAGGATCAAACTGACCTTTATCAGAGTAATTAAAGAGCTGATCAGTTATAAAAGTCCATAAACTTAACATTCCTATGTCTGTAAAAATTGTAGGCAAACTTAGTTCTGCTAAAATTTAATTATTAACTTAAAACATGTCATCAGTATGTGCCTATGTACTCTAAACTTTTGGAGACAACATTTCTTTAGTACCCAAAGGTTTTAAAACAATAATAATTGTAATAATAAAGTTGGTATTTGTTTTGTACCATGTGAAAAATACCATGTTATATGCCCAGCATGTGTGACCTAATTTATCCTTTATCACAGGCCTATACATTAAATATCATTATTACTCACTTTCAAGCTGAAGCTCTATGTGGTTAAAAACCTTGCTTACTGCCAAGACCAGCTCAGCTGGGGAGACCCTAATCCAGTGGCACTAGAGGAATTAAAGACACACACACACACAGAAATATAGAGGTGTGAAGTGGGAAATCAGGGGTCTCACAGCCTTCAGAGCTGAGCGCCCCAAACAGAGATTTACCCACATATTTATTAATGGTAAACCAGTCATTAGTATTGTTTCTATAGATATTAAATTAACTAAAAGTATCCCTTATGGGAAACAAAGGGATGGGCCAAATTAAAGGAATAGGTTGGGCTAGTTAACTGCAGCAGGAGCATGTCCTTAAGGCATGGATTGCTCATGCTATTGTTTGTGGCTTAAGAATGCCTTTAAGTGGTTTTCTGCCCTGGGCGGGCCAGGTGTTCCTTGCCCTCATTCCCATAAACCCACAATGTTCCAGCGTGGGCATTAGGGCCATTATGAACATGTCATAGTGCTGCAGAGATTTTGTTTATGGCCAGTCTTGGGGCCAGTTTATGGCCAGATTTTGGGGGGCTTGCTTCCAACATGTCCCCCTTCTCTGATTTGCAAAGAGATAAAAACAAGGGCAACTTTGTCACGATGAATTACTTCTCTCAGGAGTCAGGATCTGCATCTGCAGACTGTACAAAGACAAACAACATAGATTAAAAGCACAGTCATCATTGAAATCAGAGAGCTTCCAAGTGTTTTTATCCATTTTGATGGGTTACTAGCTGCTACTTTGTCTGCAGCTCCTTTAAGCACTCCAGTCTCTGGCATTAAGGTCAGGTGTGCCTGGGATTCTTTAAATATTTGTTCTTTTAATTTTGCTATATCCAAAAACAAGTTTGTAGAGTGTCTTTCTAGGTGCTCTTTTAGCTTTTCCCAAATTTTGATCTTATTAAGAGCATTTAATAGTTTCCACAAATCCTTATGTTTAGCTCCTAGAGCGGGCCATATCATTTGAGGTTGAGGTGCCACTATACCACCGTGGTTCCAGATAATAGGAATTTTGCCATACTTCTTATCATTTCTACCATCTGATCGTTTTGTTCAGATCATCTGAACATAATGTGACCGTGTCATGCAGACTGAGGGGTGCAATTCAAGCTAAACATCCCCTTAGGGGACCAATTAATGATTCCATAGGAATCGTTGTGCAGCACCTCTGCCTGTTCTGCAAAGCAATCTTCCTAAACAACTACATTCATTTTTTCTAACTGGATCCAATCCTGCTTACAAATAGGTTTTTAAGGGCTGTATGCCTCAATTATAGGAGCAGATTTATTATGGTAAATACTGAGATCAGAAAGCATGTGTAACAGTGTTATAGAGTGATTGCATCCAGGCATTATTACCAGCCCTTATTGAAGGAATACTCACGGCAGTGGTGATAACCGCTATCATAGCTACCATAAATTATTCATTGTGACTGGTTGTCCCGCTTTCCACAGGTGTTTTTCCGCCATCTGTGACAGCTTCTTGATCTGTCCCGAGGTGGGTGGCTGTGTTGGATGGGTGTTGCTCGTGACAGTTGGGGTCCTCCTCAACATCAGTCTCCACATGGCTGCAACTGGGGGGTCCTTGGGATTCTCCCGGAGTCTCTTCCTTGGCATCTGGCTTATGATAAGGTTTCAGGTGTCTTGATGGTATCCAAATCGGCTATTGATTTTGACCTGGAGAAATACAAGCATAACCTCTACCCCAAGTTATTATTTAATAACTTTAGCTTCTTTCCAGGTAATGCTGGGTCTGCATTTGAGACCAGAGACACTAACGTGGGTCAAATTGTGAAAGTGGCTAGCATTAGATATTGCAGTAGCAACCAAGCGATCAGCCATCTGATTTCCTTCAGTCAAAGGTCCTGGAAGAGGTGTATGAGCTCCAATGTGAGTGATATTAAAAGGGTGCATTCTATTCCTAACTGCTGTTTGCAATTGGGTAAATAAAGTCATAAGTTGTTCATCTGTATGAAATCATAACTGAGCATTTTCAATTAACTGTGTGGAATGAACCACGTATGAAGAATCAGAAATCACATTAATAGGCATAGCAAAAACAATCAATACCTCAATTATAGCTACAAGCTCTGTTTTTGAGCTGAAGTATGGGACACCTGGAAAGCTTTACTTTTCATTCCAGAATAAGAAGTTTTACCATTATTTGACCCATCTGTAAAAACATTCTCAGTACCTTCAGTTGGTTTAAATTTAGTTATTTTAGGGAGAATCCAATTAGTTAATTTCAAAAACTGAAGCAGCTTTGTTTTAGGAAAATGATTATTGAGAATACCCACAAAGTCAGCTAAATGGGTTTGCCAAGTAAAACTATTTATAAATGCTTGCTGTATTTGTGCCTTCGTGAGAGGGACAATAATATTTCCAGGATCATATCCATGTAATCCATCATATCCAGGTTCCTCTAATCCCTGTCATAGTAGCAATTTGATCTAAATAAGGAGTTACAGTCTATGAGTTAGTATGTGGAAGAAAAAGCCACTCTACTAAGTCCTGTTCTTAGACAATAACACCAGTAGGTGAATGCTGTGTTGAAAAAATTAGCAAATCTAAAGCCTTCTCTGGATCTATTCTATTTATCTGAGCTTTATGGACTTCCTTCTCAATCAGTTGTAACTCTGCCTCCGCCTCCTTTGTTAATTGCCGAGGGCTAGTCAGACTAGGATTTCCTCTAAGGATAGAAAACAGATTACTCGTGGCATAGGTAGAAATGCCTAGTAATTTTTGAAAGTCATTTAATGTTTCTAGTTGATTCCTATGTATGGTTACTTTCTGTGGCACAATGGTAGTGTCATTTACTAAGGTCCCCAATTAGGAGGAAGGAGTAGCAGTCTGAATTTTGTCAGGAGCTATAATTAAACCAGTGCGAGAAATCGAATTTTGCAAGTGATCATAACATTGGAGTAGTATTTCTCTAGTGGGGGCAGCACAAAGTATATCATCCATATAGTGAATAATGTAACACTGTGAAAATTTTTTACCAGTAGGTTCAATTGCTTGCCCCACATGTGTCTGGCAGATTGTTGGGCTATTCGACATGCCCTGTGGCAACACTTTCCAATACGCTTTGCAGGCTGCAGGTTGTTTACTGCGGGAATTGTAAATGCAAACTGTTCACAGTCTTGCTCAGTTAAAGGGATAGTAAAGAAACAGTCTTTTAAATCTATAACTATTGAAGGCCAGTTTTTTGGAATTATAGCCGGGGAAGGCAATCTTGGCTGTAATGCTCCCATAGGTTGTACAACTGAATTGATGGCTCTTAAGTCAGTTAACATTCTCCATTTACCTGATTTTTTCTTAATTACAAAACCTGGAGAATTCCAAGGGGAAATGTTGGAGCTATGTGCCCATTTCTAATTGTTTAGTAACTCATTTCTCTAAAGCCTCCAGTTTCTCTTTACTTACCGGCTATTACTCTATCCAAATTGGCTTATCTATTAACCATTTTAAAGGTATAGGTTCTGGAGGCTTAACAATGGCTGCCTTTAAAAATTATTTCCTAATCTTTGGCGGGAACTTTGTTTTTCCACTTGAAGCAGTTCTTTCAAACCTTGCAAACTTTTTTCTAGTCCCGTACCAAGGACATACCCCACTTCATGCATCATATGTTGACTTTGAGGGCTACATAATTGTTCTGGAATTAGAACTTGTGCTCCCCATTGTTGTAATAAATCTCTTCCCTATAAATTTATAGGTACAGAAGTTATAACTGATTGAATAGTCAGTCCCAGCTTGTCCATCGGGCCCTTCACAATGCAAAATATAACACTTTGATATACTTCAGCGGCTTTACCAACTCCAACTATGTTAAATTGTGTGGGTTGAATTGGCCACGTGGACAGCCAGTGCTATAGAGAAATGATTGAAATG